GTCACTGGAAATAAACATTGACAATACAGCTAGTTCTCATTTGCAAATGCAAGGACCACACTCTGCAAATCTCTTGTGAAAACAGAGATTGACAGGAGGGACTGGTTCCCATTCCCTACCACCTATGTGCTTCATAAAATCCCACAACATTACATTCATTAGCACCTTGCCTTTTCCCCTTATTTGAACGCTTGCTTGCATTAAGCTTCTTATGTGAAACAAGCACAAGGAAGGAAATAATATTAGTAACAGCAAAGCAATCTAATTTAAACACAGTTTTGCCACACTCCATACAATGATTTAGTATTTAATCAGAAGGACTACTGTGATTAGGAGTGAAAGGTCTATGTGAGTGACTCACTGTGAACAAATTAAAGATTAAAACACATGATTGAAAAAGGAAGTGGCTGGCTGCAAAACCGCTGTATGAATTGGATTCTGCTACTCTGGTTATTTCAAGTTTTTGGAGGCTGTCTTGTTTCATGAGCTAGTAAGAGGTACTTATTCCTTCTGTCTGGACTTAGTTTCAGTTAGCTACAGAAGGAATTTTTCATTAAAATCATGAATAAAATCATTATGCAATCAGTACAAAAAACCAGATATGTAAGGTGTAGGGGATGAGAGTCTTGAATGGAGACGATACTGTTTCATGAGATTCTTTGTCCCACTGGACTGTACCATCCCAGCAAGGAACTTCTGTTGCCGTAGGGGTTCAAGGTAACAGTCAGAAACAAATCTGCAATAATTTGCAACTGGACACAACATTAATGAGGTCCGTTAACACACTACTAGCAAGGGGAGGAATGGTGAAAAAAACAGTGCTTCAATAGCCAAAGCTGGTCAGCCAGCCACGCTCCGCTTCTCTGCGCACCGGGAGCTCTGAAGTGATCTGGCATTTTGCATTTCTGCAAGCCATCTGCCATCCTTCAGGAACGGGTGAAAAGCATAGAACAGAACACAAGAAGGACAAACAGCAGAGCTGAGCAATAGTTTTCACCGGCATAAGCAGAAGGACTGCGGTATTAAGGAAATGCAACATGAAACACGGGTGTCGGGGAAGAGGCGATTTGCCTTTTGGAAGGCGTGGACTGGAAACTTGCTGCCACCCCGTGGCAGTGGGTCTCTGTTCCCACGCCCGGGCATTTCGAGTCGAGTCTGGGGAGAGGAGCAGGGGTGAGGACCCTGCCCCCAGACAGAGGTGGCCTGGGAGCCCTGGGCTGCACCGTGTGAGGGGCTCCGGGAGCACTGCTGCCAGCCGCGAGGCACACAGGCTGGCAGGGCAGGCCCCCTGACAGGGAGCATAAAAGGTGAGGGTGAAGGTCTTGCTTAAATTCAGCAGTTAATCTCCCCTTACCGTCTCTGTCTTCAAGAAAAACGCCAGGTATCGCATACAGGAATTGCTATTGAAACGCGGCTCAAGCCCACACGTACGTGGAGTTGTGCTAAGTACTTGCATTTTTGCTCACCATGCTGAAGCAGCCCATCTCACCTACATTAAAAGTGGCGGTAAAGAAAGAAGTAGGCCAAGCCACTCACTGTCTGGCAGATGGCTTTACAGACACAGAGCTGTGCTGGTCATGACAAAAAGTAATCTTTCAAGTACTCTTTTGAGGACTTTTGCGATGAACACAGAGGTGCACACTCTGCCACCTTAGACAACTATGGAATTCTTCTGTCAGAAGAGACTGCAAAATTTTATCATCATAAAATTTTATCTAATAAATGGTCAGGCAGCCAGTGTAAGCATAATAGTGCTATAATTGGAGATTTTTTCCCACTAGTGAAGGCACTGATTTAAATAAATGGGGAGAATAATAATTACAGTAAAAACCCCCGAACAACAGAAGCAACCGCCAGCAGATAGGATTTAACTCAAAAAAACCCCCAAAACCCCACCAAAAAAAACAAAACGAAAAACCCCCAAACAAACAAACAAGTATGTTTCCTTGACATTAAATTTCACAGTCCCATTACTTGCATCTCATTTTTTATTTTGGAGTTCAAATTCATTTTGTCCCATCACCTGTTGTCAGGATGGCTCGCATATTGAGCTGCTCAGTGTTTTCCCAAACAAGTTGTTCTTCCTGAGCCGCTATTCAAAGAGAGCCATAAAAAGGGGTGGATCAGGAATACTGACTTGCTAGTGCAAGCAAGTGGTTTTTCACAAGTTCCATAAGCAATCCAACAGAAAGGTAACTGTTGCGTTTCCAGGCTCCTGACTGTATGGAGGATTTGGTTCTCTCTCTGAATATGCGACTGTATCAACAGTCTCTAGCATTTTTCCAAAATTCCTTACTTCACTCCCTATCATTCAGAATCTTCACGTAACAGGAAAAGGAAACCTAGCTTTAGAGGCAGAAAGACTATAATAAAAGATACCTAAGAGAAAACCCCAAATGTATCATAAACAGAGTACACTATGGTGTATCAGTGCCATTACACAGCACTGAAGCGGAATAGCCAGGAAT